CCTTATTGCCGTTCAGTCAATGTGCGGGGTGTGGTGCGGTATCTAATGCTAGGGGGAGCGGAGAGTGTCCGTTCTCGTTACTTTTTTGTTCTCTGCCACGCGAGTGCATCGCGATATGACACATGCAAGTCGCACTGCTACGTTTGTATGGAGTTACCATGATTGTCTTGTTATAGAGGTACTGTGGTAAAACTTCGCATAATATATGTAAATAGTTTTCCTTACCAACACAGTTTCTGGGTCCATTACTAAACGGCATAAAACTGCAGGAATGTTCAAGTTTAAATCGTTCCGGCAAGAAGCGGTCAGGATCGAACTTTTCGGCGTCTGGGCCCCAGTATTTGGGATCTCTGTGGACGCCCCAGATGGACACTACTACTCCTGATCCACTAGGGAGGACGTAACCTGAGGCTGAATTATATAATAATGTATAATAAGTACTTTGAGTATTTGTGTAATTTGTTGAAATGTTATTGAAAACTAAATATAATATTATTTGTACGCAATATATACAACTCAATGAACTCAATAACAAATTAACAACAACAAAAGATATTAAACAAAAGATTAAACAGAAGATAGTTAATTAATTCATTAGAAACTACAAATGTATCTTATATTAAACCATTTAGTGAGCCATTGTAGAGGGTCAAGAGCACGTCAAGCTTGACACTCAAGATTTAAATCCAATTCTGTGCAGCTTACGATAAGAACGGTCCAAAGTATAGTGTCAAGCTTGACGTGCTCTCAACTGTACCGAAACAACAAATATGTGGGGAAATTTTATGTCTTTTTACTTACGCAGTTTGGTATCCTCCAAAGCCTTTCTAATAATAAAAGGCACTGGGGGATACAGCCTGAGCGACTCCTTAACTACTCTTTCCAAATGTTTTAGTTTCAAAAGATCTTCTTTTACTAATGGTCTATCTGAATCTCCGAAAACGTCGTATAATCTGTAAAAGATGTCCTTGTTGAAAATACAATTGAAATTAAAGGAAATGTGGTAAAATTACTAAAGAACTTCAAATTGATTAAATAATTAGACTGTGTACTACAGTTTATAGTTCATTACAAAAGTAAACAGTAAAATTCTAGTTGTAATATATGTTATATATTTTTTTTATAATATCTAGTGTCGGGACGAACAAGACGTGCACTGATGGTAAGTTACACGCCTGTCCATAACAGTTACAGTGCAACTCTGAACTTTAAATCGCAAAGATCTGAGGGGCACTGCTAATGCGCCCGTCACCCTGAGACGTAAGTTGTTGTTATATATACTACATATATGTAAATTTTATATAAACGTGTCCGACAATATTAGTGTGGATCTGCCTAATAAAGTATATATGAATGCAAATAATTATTCCAATTTGAATAATGGTAACCATAGAATTTGAGACGCAGTTACTATTTTTCAGAATTATGAAAAAGTTCTTGTATTATCTACAATTTTTATTTTGAAGTTCACATTATATTATTAACTGAACGTATGCACTTTCGTCGGCTTAGCTATTTCATTAATTTGTATGGGAAATCTCTAATAAGATTTTAATTCAAACTCTAGATGTTTCCATTAGCATTTATTAACTACTTACTCTTGATAAACCTTCTCCTGAACATCAGGGTACTTTCCCAACAGTAAGAGCGTGTACCCCATAGAGGCCGCTGATGTATCTGTACCAGCTACGGTCAATGTCAGAACTTCCTCTCTTAGCTCTATGTTTGTGTACCCTTTTTCTCCGCCAGAAAGAGATATCAGCAGATCTAAGAATGACTTTCTTTTGTAACCGTCAAGATCTGCAAAAATATTAAGAAGTGAAGTTTTTATTACAATTTTCATTTTAATGCAAATCAAAATTCCACTTTGTTCTCTCTATTACTACTATTTATATCACAGATTTATATCCAGTTCTTACACATTGAAAATGAAACTATTTTGTCAGATCTAAATCAGATATATTTGTTTTTTTTTACTAACAAACCTACGTTTCGGAAGCCATTACTAGCAAAATACCTTATTTTTAATTTACTAAAGAACTTTCTAATTTACGCTAACGTTTTGCAAAATATTTTGTTTTAATAATATGAATTTTACTTAATTAAATCAAAATAATTAAAAAGAAATTAGAAATAAAATAATAGTACATTATGATATAAGTGCAGTAAGCCTCTGCTTTCTTATAGCAATATCGCCTCGGCTGTAATTTTCAACTTACCGCACTTATATCATAACGTACTATAATATTTTTGTGTTTTTGTTACAGATAAATGGTTGTAATTTATTGTCAAAATTAATTAAATGAAAGAATTAAAAGTTTATTTACTATATTTTAACTCCCATAGTTAATTTTATTCATAAAATATTGACCACTTTTCTAACATAAAAACTCTTTGCAATGATTTAAAAAAGTATCGTTCATTTTTAGACGGAGCATCTTAAAAAACCGTGCATGTTACTTTATTAAAAAAAAACTCGTGCGTTTTACATTACAATAACGCACTTGTGCGTTTCACATTACAATAACGGACAAGTGCGTAATGAAATACATTACGATATTGAAATGTGTGTGATTTCAGCCACTTTACGAGCAAATATGTTATAAAATTATTTTACGTCACGCGTAAAGACTTATAATGCTATTTAGATCAGTAAATGTAGTTTCATTTCCGACAATTATGTACTATGTATACCTTACCTATTAAAAATAATTTTATTGTTTAGACATAAAAATTAGCCTCAAAGGCCTCGTATCTGTTAGACACGGGTGAACTCTTCATGAACACTTCAATAACACCAAAGAAAATAGCAGCTTTTCTTATGAATTATGGAAAATAATAAAAAATATACACATAATTTATTACCTACTTTGAATCATGTTCTACGTTTTTAAGCCTGTTTTCCTACTATACAGGTAGTTCAGAGAACGGTCTATCTATCGGTCGGTCAGTCGGTCTAAACGATCTAGTTTTCAACAGCCTTGACTTTCTTAGAATTCTGAATGAACGAATTATGTATTCTATAAACTGTTAGTTACGCGGGTTCAACACTCGGGGTTTATGTTTACTCAATTTATGATTCCGGAATGCAATGTCTTTTAAGAGTATCTTTTTTCTACTGTAAAGTAATGCTGATACGTAATAATAGCCTATTAAGAGCTTTGAGAAACCAACCAGGTTCCACGCAGTTTAGTCTACGTGGTATTTAAAACCGTATTGTTTAAATTCGTTTCAGGACCTACACAAAGTAGAACGGGAATCGCATGGCGAAATTATGTGTTTTACTCTTTAAACTTTAATTATTTATTTTCGCAGACCTGCTAATACTGTCACCTAAACACACACAATGAACATGAGCTATACAATGAATCGTATGAAAAAAACATGACTGTTCAACACTGGGAGCCTTCAAGAGGTGTGTACTGATTTTATTCGAAAAGGGAAAATATCAAAGATACGGATTACGTAGCGTGAAACGCTAAGTTTGTTTTATAACTTATACAGATTATAATATTACTTACGTTCTTCTATAATATCGACAATTTTTCAACCATTACAAGTTGTCGTGAAACAAAATTAATTACTGGTCTTTGGTAACGCCAGGTATAGTTTGTCTGAGCTCGCACCTCCTTACCTTTCCCGTCCTAATCCGTGCTACGCCATAGCCACATAAATCGCCAGTGAAATTAAAAAATAAGTGTGAGACATTACATTCGAACTGAAAAATCCGCATCCGCGACGTCGCATCATTTATTAAAATTAAATATCCCGCTTCTCCGCCCGGCATTACGCCGCGTACGCAATATATTACATGGTGGCGTTATTGGTGATCAGCCGCACGTGAAGTGTGTGAATGAAGACGAGCTCTACGACGTTTCGAACATAAAGGTTGGTGGTAGCACGGCTTCCATTCCTTTTACTTGCGAGCTCATCTATCCCGCAGCTCCCCACGAGCTATCGAAGTTTCTTTTAATTTTTTTATTTGGTCCTTTCGAACTGCGGATGAACGGCGTTTCACTGCATTTTGTTCTTTAATTGCCCGCCCTTATTAGAATACCAATTGTAGGTCCTGATAAGTGTAGGTATTTATCGCATTTCTACGAAATACATTGCGTATTTTCTGTGATTTTGTTCTACATAATCGTCATTGAGACACTCCGCACCGCGACATTGCGTCGTGAAAATCGGACAAAATCATTGTAATCCCGCAACCTATAAGTAATATTGGTATATTTATATAAATTCTCCGCATATTAATGGTGTTTACTTTTTATATTGGTAAAATAATTGCATTTCTCATTCGTCAAAAATATTATTTGACATTTTATTTTTACAAATATTCTGTTATCGATCGGTTCACAATTTATTATAATCCGACTGTGTAGAAAGTCACGTACACCGCTTTATATGTAACTTAGGTTACTTATATTTCAATTTGCCGCATATAATACATCGTTGTCATGACTACGAAACAAACAAAGTCAAAAAATGCTGACGATTGTTTCTCAGATGCAGATTCTGAAGATCCGCAGCTGTTAATGATACAAGCTAAAAAGGCAGCTGTGTTTAAAATAATTCAGAGTATTTATGATTCGTCTGCGAGTAGTAACAAGAGCACTGAGACGAGGGAAAGTTTTCTCGCTGAAAGTCAATCTATTGACATTTTACGCACTGAATTCCTTGAGTTATTGGATAATTATAATACGCGCCTGTTGACTATTAATTCCGCCGCGAAACCTGACTATAAATGTCTAATTGCTTTCGAACAATTATACAGTCGCATTAAGCGACTCCAATCGCAGTACTCTACTTCATCATCAGTTGGTGATAATGTCGCGTCGCACAGAACTAAGCCTCGGTTACCTCCTATCGAGTTGGTGTCTTTTTCTTCTATTGTTCTATGCTAGTTTTAAGTCGACTGTTCATGATAATCCATCGCTCACGGATGCCGAAAAATTATATTATTTGTTAGGTAAATTGTCAGGCAAAGCTCTATCTGCGTGCGCAGGTATTACACCTAGCGCCGAAAATTATAATTTGTTATTGCAATCGCTTATTGATAAATATGAAGACAAGCGTATGCTCGCCTCCGCCTATCTAAATCAGTTGTTCGATTTCAAGCCCATAAGCGCCGCATCAGCAGATAACTTCGACTTGTTTTCTGATCGATTTGTCAGTGCAGTCCGCGCTCTGGGTAATTTAAAGAAATTGAGTGATCTTATTGTATTGCATATTGCTTTGAAAAAGTTAGATTCAGATACTGTACGCGCTTTTGAGTTGAGTGTAGGTTCTAAAATGCCTACTTTTGATGAGCTCGTGGTGTTCATAAAGAACCGCTCTAAAGTGTTCGAACGCACGTCCACAACTTATAATAATAATTTAAATAAACCGCCCTCGCTCTAAAGAAAATAATAATATTTTAAAGTCACCGCCAAAGTATCAAGCTTATGTAGGTACAGTCGACCCCGCTTCTAAGTGGTTGTGTACAAATATAACGCATCAGCATTTATTCAAATGTCCCGATTTTAATAAAATGACGCCCGCAGAACGTTTTAAATACGTAAAGGACAGGAGTGCCTGTGTAAATTGTCTTAGCTTAAAGCATCGTGTATCGAACTGTAAATCAGAGCTTGTATGCCGCACTTGTAAATCTCGCCATCACAGTATGTTGCACTTTACGTCAGGAATCGAACCTTTGATTTCGGCACCGCAGCGCAGTGAAGTCACAGCGTCACATGCGCCCGCTTCGCTGCCAGTTATCGCTCCTCGTATTCCAAGTGATCGTGAACGCACAGACGTAGCGTTGTGTGCGACATCCATTGCCGCTTCTCAGTCGTCATCATCGTTTGAGCCTGTTTATACCGAACAATGTACTGTGTTGCTTGCTACCGCTCAGGTCGCTGCATATGATGGTGAGGGTAATAAACATCTTTTGCGCGTCCTTCTCGATTCTGGCTCGCAATGTCACTTTATTACAAAAGAGACTTGCGAACTGTTAGGTATCCGACTTCAGGATTCAGAACGTACTATTGTAAAGGGATTTGGAGGGGTCGAGAAGGTAATTAATTCTAGTTCCGTGAATTTAGAAATTCACTCCCGCTATAATAATAACATAAAATTTTGTATTGCGCCGCTCGTAGTGGATCGAATTACCGATGCGCTGCCTAGTGCTGTTGTAGACACGTCTGTCTTATCACACTTACGCTACTTACAGCTGGCAGACGAGACTTTTGGAACTCTTTGCACATTTATTGATACCCGACGACGTAGTGCACGCCTCTGACGTCACGTCAGCACCTCCAGCATTACGTACAGTATTAGGATACGTTATTATGGGTTCCGTACCTACGTTATTTTCCCGCCAAGCTTTGACATGCTGCCTAGTTCAGGAGCATGGTTTAGATAATCTTGTTAAAAGATTTTGGGAGTTAGAAGAGCTTCCTCCAGCGCCGCCCGTTCAACGCCCCGTAGACGTTGAATGTGAACAGTTTTATAAAGATACTACAACCCGCGATCCTGTTAGTGGTAGATACGTAGTCGGACTGCCATTTAGCGAGGATATATATATGTTAGGCCACTCCTACGAAACCTCCCGAAGACGCTTCATGTGTCTCGAGAAAAAATTAGAAGCTTCGCCTAAGTTGAGGGCAGCTTGTGATGACGTCATCAAGGAATATCTGGATAAAGATTATATTTCACCCGCACCCCCAGATACCTCTGATAACTCATTACCCATGTACGTCATTCCTCATCACGGAGTAATAAGAGAAGATAGAACGTCGACTCGTCTCCGTATAGTTTTGGATGCTAGCTGTAAGACCAGCTCTAGAACTTCGCTAAACGATATTTTACATCACGGACCGAACTTGCAAGGTGATTTATTTCAGATAATTTTGAACTCTTCGCCATCGCCATGAATGCAGACTGTCGCCAGCAGTTCTTACAAGTTATTGTTCGTGAATGTGATCGTCGTTATCAATGTATACTATATCGATTCAATCCCCAAGATCCGCTGACCCTTTATAATTTCAAAAGACTTCGTTTCGGCCTAGCTTCGTCTGTGTACCATGCATTGCGCACGGTCAGACAGCTCATCGAAGATGACGGTACTCGGGAGTGCTATATTATCTACTTCGCTTTATATGGATGATGTAGTATTTTCGGTTCAAACAATAGAAGAAGGTGCCGTCGCAGCTGATCAACTAATCGCTCTCTTTAAAGGCGCGCAGTGGGATCTTGTTAAGTGGAATAGCAATTCTCATACTGCTTTAAATGACATTCCCGCCTCGCACAAACTGCCCACTGAGGTTGAATTTGATAAGTCAGTACAGCACAAAATACTAGGCTTGCATTGGTCGACGAATGATGACGCGTTTTACTTCAAAATATCTCCTCCAGCTGATGATAAGTGCACTAAGCGCTCCATCTTATCCACTATCGCGCGCCTATGGGATATAATGGGCTTTGTTGCTCCCACAATTCTCTACGCGAAGTTGCTAATAAAGCATCTTCATCTAGATTGGGACGATACACCGCCGCCCCACATTACTAAAATGTGGAGACAGTTTTGCATCGAGCTGCCGGCTCTCAATGAGCTGCGAAACTACGCCACTTAGGTGTGTTTGTAGATTCCAAAGTCACTCTGTTGGGATTCTCCGACGCTAGCGAGCATGCTTATGGTGGTGTCGTCTACTTACATGTCAGCTCCGTCAATGGTAACTCTACGCGTTTAGCCTGCGTCAAATCTAAAGTAGCGCCAACAAAACCGCTCTCGATCGCACGACTGGAGCTTTGTGGATTAGTCTTGCTATCCAAACTACTTCGCACAGTTTTAAATAATTACGCTAATCGTATCTCAATCAATACCTACGCTTTTACAGACTCTAAAGTCTCATTATATTGGATAAATAGTTCGCCTCACAGGTGGCAGACTTTTGTTTCGAACCGCGTAGTTCAAGTTACGAAAAATATTCCAGCTGAACATTTCTATCATGTTTCGGGCGCTGATAACCCAGCCGATTGTCTGTCTCGTGGTGCTACGCCGCAGAAATTAATATCGCACCCTTTGTGGTTGCACGGACCTCCCTGGGCTTTACTCAACCCGCATCAGTGGCCCCTGCGTGACCTCGACAGTCAACCACTCGAGAATATGCCAGAACAAAAGACGCTGTATCATCCTGTTAACACACCTGTAAAGAAAAGCGCCGTCTATGACCTCGCATTGCGCACGTCATCATGGTCTAAACTGCTGCGCATTCTCGTATACGTTTTTACATTCGCTAAGTTATCGCCCCGCCGCGTTACTGTTGCAGTAACTGCTGATCAACTTCAGTTCGCTGAAAATAAATTAATAAGTGCCCTGCAACTGAAATATTTTGCAGAGGAATTTGACAAGCTTCGCAACGAGGTGTCATGCTCGCCTGCCTTCAATAGGTTGAGACCTTTTATAGACGATAACGGTCTGATTCGTGTAGGAGGTCGCCTCGACAATTCTGACTTGGAATATGCTCACATGCATCCAGTCGTTCTACCACGTAATGATCATATAGTGAACTTGCTGATTGATTATTATCATATAAAATATTTACACGCCGGTCCAGAATTATTGATGTCGCTTCTTCGACAAAAGTTCTGGATCCTATCCGCACGCCACATTGTAAGACAAAGAGTCCGTATGTGCAACACTTGTTTCAGACTCAACCCGCGTCTAACGTATCCTCTAATGGCATCACTTCCTGAATATCGCACACGACAAATGATAAAGTGTTTTACGCACACTGGCTGTGACTACGCGGGTCCATTTCCGTATACTCCTGTACGCCGTCGTGGAGTCAGGAGCGAAAAGGCATATATATGCCTCTTCACATGTTTGACTATACGCGCTGTCCATATTGAAGTCGCTACCGACCTCAGCACTCCCAGTTTTCTCGCCGCTCTTAAACGTATCCTCGCGCGTCGTGGCCCTGTCCAGGTAATGCACTCGGATAACACAAGTAACTTTAAAGGTGCCAACGCTTATTTACGCGACTTATATAAGTTTTTAAATGACGAATATCGTCCGAATTTGGAATTAGAGTTTGCTGAGAGTCGTATCCCTTGGTCATTTATTACACCCAATTCTCCCCACAAAGGTGGAGCTTGGGAGAGTATGATCAAAGTAGTAAAAACGCATCTGTATCGTGTTATTGGTCGGCAACTACTTTCTTTCGAGGAACTTTGTACTGTTCTCACTCAGATAGAGTGTTTGTTTAACTCTCGTCCGCTAACAGTACTAAGTGCCGATCCTGGAGAAGCCTCTGCTCTATCGCCAAGCCACTTTTTACACACCGCGCCTCTTTGTTCTCTACCCGCGCCTGAAGTAGAGTCTGATAATCTCAGTTTACTTCACAGACATTCGCTACTGGACAAGTTAGTTCAGTCATTTTGGCAACGATGGAGGATGGAATATCTGCATGGACTTCAGATTAGACAGAAATGGAATACTCCTTCCACACCTATCACTCCAGGATTAGTCCTGGTTTTGATAGATGATAACGCACCTACTCTAGCCATTAGCGATCGTGGAGAAAGTCCACAGCTCGAAAGACGGTATCATACGCACTTGTACTGTCAGATCCGCGAGCGGTACTTACATTAGTCCTACCGTTCGTTTATGCCCTCTGCCGCGTCAGTAATTTATTACATAACTTATATTGCTTATTACCATTTGGTTTATCAATTTTAGGTAACACCGCATCTTACCGCATCTTGTAAATAATACTCCCGCATCTATAATCACTCTCATAAAACTCTAGAGAGACCGCTAGTTTAGAATAGTTTAATTTAATTTGCTCAATTATGAGTTTCTTTATGTATTATCCTATTTTCTATTTCCTCTTGAGATATTAGACCTAGTTCTAGTCTCACTTATGGTTGTCCTTTTAAAGGTGACCCTTTAAGGGCGGGCGGAAATGGTAACGTCAGGTATAGTTTGTCTGAGCTCACACCTCCTTACCTCTCCCGTCCTAATCCGTGCTACGCCATAGCCACATAAATCGCCAGTGAAATTAAAAAATAAGTGTGAGACGTTACATTCGAACTGAAAAATCCGCATCCGCGACGTCGCATCATTTATTACAATTAAATATCCCGCTTCTCCGCCCGGCATTGAGCCACGTACGCAATAAATTACATGGTGGCGTTATTGGTGATCAGCCGCACGTGAAGTGTGTGAATGAAGACGAGCTCTTCGACGTTTCGGACATAAAGGTTGGTAGTAGCACGGCTTCCATTCCTTTTACTTGCGAGCTCATCTATACCGCAGCTCCCCACGAGGTATCGAAGTTTCTTTTAATTTTTTTATTATAGCGTCACCAGTCTTGTTTTGGACCGACTTCAAAAAACGGAGGTTTTCAATTCGACTTGTGTTTTTTGACACTGACATTTGTGAACCGATTTCGATGATCTTTTTTGTTGGAAAAGACGTATCTCAGTAGTGGTACCGTTCAAATTTGAAGTAGGTATACACTATCCCATCTCTAAAGGTGGCAGGTGAATCCGGTTTATAGAATGTCACCCACTTTCCGTTTATCCATTTCAACGGGACTTGCGTTACAAATGCTTTTGCAATGAAAAATAAAATGGTAGACAGATGACAGGTCCTCAATTCTCAGCGGTGTACAGCAACTACTTTGTATTTAGGCTCATGTGATTCGTTTTGACGAGGACTTCCTTATGCGTTTCAGTTATCGTTTAAGAAACCGCGGACACAGCAAACCGGATAAGCAAAATTTTGAGAACGGTTTTTTTAAGTTGTAATTCACCTTTGAAGTTATTGTGGTGAACTTGCAATTCATAACAGGACTGTGACAAAAACCTACCATTTTCCAAATAAAAGTTAGTCACTGAGTAACTTTTTTTAATTGCGTATTTTGATAACTGAAACCTTCAGTTGCATGCAATGAGATAAAATATAAACGGGTTTTAAATGGTCAATGTAAAGTGCATGGAACTTGCCTTGTTTTTATGACTTAGTAATACGAATTTGAAAGGTAATGCAACTTAATTAACAGGATTGCTATAGGAGCTCCTGATGGGCTCTCAGAATTTGAAGGATACGAAGGACAAACATGGAAATTTACCCATTCGTATACTACAAGTGTTAACTTGGTAAATCTGTGGGAATAAAATACTATACCTTTTTAAACTATAACAATGGCACACAATTTATTTTAGGAACAGTTGATAATGTTCGATTAAAACGTTACACTTACCGTAATCTTTTTTTTGCTCTGATTCCGGTCTGCTTTTATGTTCTGCCTCAAATTCTTCCCGTTTTGTCTTGATGACCTTGAAAATGAGTTAACATTATATATATAGAATAACATATTCATCGCGCTGTTTGGCACGCATCTCCTCCAAGAGTTCATAGCCCAATGTCGGTAAGGGTTGTACATGTCTCCTGAGGATTTCCAATCGTCACTAATTTGCTAGTTTCCTCATGCTGATATTCATCAGAAAGTTGATTTTACCGACTTTTTTGAAGAATCCTGATTAACCACAATTTCTTTAGAACTACGTGTAGTAAATCTTTTCAAAGTCACAAATTAAAATTCATGATGACTCATTCATGACTGAATAATAAGTAAGAGATATTGGCATCGAGTCTTTCTTCTACTTTGTCGTAAGTGTTACATACATATTAAAAATTGGTCAAACATTATTTATTTAACTTGAAAACAATAAAAACAAATTACACAGACACGAACGAACGATAATGGTTTCCGCTTGCAGTGGCGGAACACAAAGTAAATTTTGTTATATTAATGCACTTTTCTGCTCACGAAAAAAGGCACAACTATGCGTACTTTATACAAGAGTTGTACCTTTTTTCCTTCTGAGGGCAGTTTTACGTAGTATAACAGGTAATTGGTATGAACTGTAAGCACGTTTATAGGTATTTATTTTTACTTCATTTTACTAAACAACTTGAATAGATGTTCAACTGTTTTCTTTCGTTAAGACGTCTCACCTGATCAGTGTAATCATGCAAAATGCTCTTATTTTTCTCATGCATCACGTACTGCGGCATGAACTTATATAACCAGTCGGGTTGCAGCCATAAGTGGAAAATCCTCTGGCACACCAGATTTAACATTGAGGTCATTGCTTGCAGAAATGGAGTCTTTGAGTCGTCTTGTGAGTGCAATTTTACACCCATTGCTGTTTCTGTGAAAGAAATATAGGTATACTTGTTACTCATTTAGATATTACCTCATAAAAGGCTATTAAAGTTGTCTCGAATAGCTACTCGCTAACCGTCAAGTGGTTATTGTTAGTCAGAGAGGTTTACCCATTATATGGCGCACTTATGGGCACGGGTATATCAGAAGGCTTAGGGCATAAAATTAGACGCTTGTAAAAGCACTGCCGTGACGCGACTTTGGGGTAGCAACCGCGCGTCTGTAGCGCTACTGTAACTTTTAGATCACACACGAAGTAACGAGTGCATGTCACGTCAGTGATGTTACAACTACGTTAAATATTGTATGAAAATTAGTAGTCGCGCTCACTGGAGTCACTGGAGTCTCATTTCTATGTCTACTTGGAAAGTTTCCTACAGATCAGAAGTGGAAAAGCCCTCGTGGTATAAATTGAGGATTAGGGAAGCAGTGATACAATGGCGTAAGTAATGACGATGTGAATCAATGATACTGGTGTGTAAGTACATTCGTTTTACATCGCACATGTACACGTATTACGTAGTGTAAGCAGGCGCCCAGAAAAGAGGGACTTATTGTTTATAGTTGTATTGTGTACGAGTATTGGATTTGTTAAACTGTTATTGAAAAAAAGTAGGTACTTAAACGGTGTGTAAATAACGTAAAGTAACGTAAGGTACGATTTTCAACAAAGATTTTCGATAGATTATATCTTTTGATGTGGCCCTCGGTACATACAAGAATAGAATATACATTAAAAAAAAAACTGTTTTGTAATGATAATAAAGAACAGGTATTTTGTTTACATGTTTGCATCTACTAATTGACAGTTATTTCTTAGATGGATAAACTACTGAATACTTAAACATAAAGTGAGAGTGTGAGAGCTGATCGGTGCCAAGCGGTGCAGCCATCAGATGCTGCAAAAGTAATGGTATCCATGTTTCTATGGGCAGGCCGTGTCCCGAGGGTGGCAAACGGTAGCCTATATGACTTGAGAATGTGTACATGGGCAGGCTGTGTCCCGCGGGTTGCAAACAGTAGCCATTATATAACTGAAAGGTGGGCAGGCCGTGCCCCGTAGGTAGCAAACGGTAACCATTATATCGCGCGTTCAAAGCGATACTGTCACTAAGCGTAAGTCTCACTTTCAAATTTAAACTTATTTACGTAAACTTTATACGCGTTTTTCCAAAAGTTGACTTTTTCGCTTAGTGACGATATTGATTTCAACATGCGAATGAGTCATAGGAGAGCAGGCCGTGTACCGCGGGGTACAAACGCTAGCTAAGAGCCGTGTTCTTTGTATGGCAAGCTGTATTCAATAATTCATCCATTCGTGTCTCTCCGATGCCAAACAGAGACTAGAATTGGTGTGCTTCTATGAGCAGACAGTGTTCTGCGGGTGAGTTGGTATAATATATTTACTTGATTTCAGCTCGTCTGTGATAAACGGCCTAGTGCATCCAAGTAAGTAAATACTGTAGAAAACAATAAATTTAAGATTCTAGTATTAGCTCGGCATCTGAATTGAAATAAATTGAAATGAAAAATGATATCTTACAATTTGGTGTACAAATAAATAATAATGGTTTATGGTATCTTTGACAAAAATGTACCAATAACGGCGAACAAATACTTTCATGTAAACTTCTAGAAATTATGGTTTTCATTGATTAAGATCACTTAATTTAAAATATGTTATCTTTTCATGGCATTTAAATTACCTATGCCAAGTCTAAGATGTCAATATTATATTAATGAAATGAAATTAAATACTTGAAATGAAATATTTGGAATGAAATTAATTATTCATGTAAAATCATGTTTAATGCATTCAGGTGATTTAAGTTAACTGAAAGTGTACTTTATTCACCCAGGTAAATTAATCCAAGTGAATTAAGGTAACATACTGTAAAATTCACTGCTCCAAAGGACGTTAATATTATGTTTAATACATAAAACTGGATAGAAAAGAACTTACAAATATTAATCATATATAGTAGAATTGTAAATTAGTTTATACATTGGCGAAAGTTAAATCTAATACAATTAGGTGACTGTTCCAAAGTAATATTTTAGAAGAAGCTAATGCCTACTAATTATTAGGTTAAGGCATTTCAGTTGTAATTTATTTTCGTCCAATTATATATATTTATATAACTGCCGCACTAGGGAAACCCTGTGTCGCGGGGCTATGTTGAGTGTGTGCGTTATTTATTTATTTATTTATTTATTTAATATACGTTGGTAGAAGGATGTTTATGTTTATTCCTTGAATAAACAAATATAAAAAAATGCACGCAAGTGGTTGTGTCTATCAGGCGACAGTGTGTTATTTAATTTTTAATTATTTAATAGGTATTAAGTCTACAGTTTGTTAATGTTCAAGATTTAATAGCCATTTTTCTATTTGTTGAATTGTCGTGTTGTTCTTGAGCGAAACTGACTTTAACTCCAGGGTTTAGAAGTTTGTAGACGCGACGTTTTAGGAGTATTTCATATTCGCTCGAGTTTATTGTCCTTATGAGTACTGCTGTGGCTGCTTTAGGAATGTACACGTATTGTATATCAGGCGCACCCGAAAGACTTTCGATTCTTTGTGCAGAGCTTATCAGCTGAGTTTTACTATTATATTTATATTACATAAATTACATTATGAATTATATTAATCAGTCGTAATTAACAGTTTAGAGACGTCCATCTGGTTGCTTATTCTACGAGTTATTTTTGCGGACCAGAAATCCTTTTACAGAGTAATACCAAAATTTTTAATTATAATATTGTTGTAATACTCGTCAGCAGTCATCAAATAGCATTGTATTTATTTGACGTGTAAATGTATTAAGTGACAATACTCTGATGTTACTGGGTAGCGAGATAAAAATCTTTAGGACCATAAATAATGGGTCATTTTCTACACTTGTTAATTGGCTATGTGGCATAGCACGTAATATGTTATCAAACAGCTATTTGTACTCAATACTAGTGTCAACAATAATAGTATCGAGTACAAATAGATTACTTACGACGTATTTATTTGTTTGTAAATTATTACTTCGACGAGATCGTATTACTTTTGTTAAGTTCTGTTTGAGTTGTTCTTAATGCTTTGCACTTACAAATATCTGATTCTAAATTAAAAATTCAAATTGACGACTTCGATCATTGACTTACAAATAAATGGACGACGGGTCTAATACAAAAACCACGAAAAAAATGTCCCAAGTCAACCTATTCGAAATTTAAATTGTAATGTCATCGCAGTATCGCGCTGTCAGTAGAACAAATGAAGACTAAAGCGGAGTGTCGCGCTCTGTATACGATTTTAGCGCCTTACAAGTGCGGACACTTTTTAGCGCGGACCCGACGTCCATATAATTGTAAGTCAATGACTTCGATGGCCCAACGACTCTAGCTAGAACGACTATAGCTTAATTTTTAAGATTATATATTATAACAGTAGTTACTGTCGTGTCATGAAGATGCCAGTAATATAAAAATAGTATAAGTATATATATTTTGTTAAATAAGTTAAAAGATCAAATGTATTGAGATTTATGTGTAAAGAAGTCCTTAATAGAATAGAAACTTTTATCTCTTAGCCATGACATCACTTTAGTTGCAACAGTACGAAGATAAATAATAACGTGTACTCTCTAGCAAAGTCGCTAAAACTGTCACTAGTGTACAGGTCCTTTCATTTCCATTGTGGCCCAATTACTGGATTTCAAAGAATTTTATTAGTGTTATGACTTTATACTTAAATTATCAAAGTGAATTATACAATTAATGAACATCGTGCTGTACGAAAGGTGTGTTAAAAAGTAGTAAACTGACTGCAGTCATCGGACGTTGATTTATTCATAGATATTAGGTACAATGTTGGTATAGATGTTGTCGAAACAAGACTTACAACATTGAAAAAGTGAAATGAGCCCACTACTTAGACTACGATCTTGTAATAAATTAACAATAATGCCTGAAGTAATATATAATATATTTATTTGGTTATTTATTTTGCCTAAAACCTCGTCTAATCAGTTTATCAGACAATCCGTAAGATGAACGTGAGTGATCTCAAGCTTAATATAATAGAAATAATTTGTTAATTTAACAAAAAAAAAGCATCATAGTACACAGTTCTCAGCATTCTGTAATATGCAGAATATCTTTATATGCCGGTCAAGAAATAGGCTCACAATATCTGGACATACTTTAAATTTTATATAATTACTAAAATTACCAGAACACAGAAATTATACAAGTCTTAAGTGTAAGGGTACATTGCATTATAATCAACCTGCAAGCAGATGTGCCAATATTAGTGGATTTAATGTTTGGTCTCTGTAGTTACAAATTAATGTACAACATTTGTAAATTATACTATTTATTACTATAGAAGCAATGCGCCAAAAGTCATTGTGTCAATTGTAATTGAAAAGCATGTCCTTGCAACAATTTAATTTCATTTGGTAATTTATCGAAAATACTTATACACTTGTTGAAGCAGTTATTCTCATAAATCACTTTAATGCAACGGGTTTGGTATAAAAGTTTCATAAATTTTGCTTTACTTTTGACTTTGAATGACTTTACCACATGTTTTAAAATATTGAGGATGAGAATTGACAAATACACAGATATCCCTAATGCACACGCGTGGCAAAGGCAATATGTTATATATGTTTAGTATTTTCTGACAACAATTTGCAGCTGGTAGAATCACGTACCGCAAATTCTCCGAATAATCTAATATTAAAAGAATAATTTAATGTTCGATTGAATTTGTTCACACACTTTTTAGACAGGCTTACTTTTGCTGTCGATGAGTTGTTACAGTTCCTCTCTATTGCCGTATTAATTGAAATATTTGAAAATTGAGTCTTGAATAGACTATTTAATGTCAGGTGATTGAATCCTGTCAACAGAAGCAGCTGTCTGATAGCCAACAATTTGGTAATGTCACAGCAATTCTGTTATCTGCCACCTAGAATAACTTGCAAAATAATGCCCAAGCAGCACACCCATATCTAAATACACTCGAGAGCAATGAATCCGGGTCACTTAAAGAATCCAAAAAATCTCGGAAAGTAAGAATGCTAGGTTAATGCAATAAATTGTATTTAATAGACAATTTAATACTCCTTAAATGAAAGTAAAAAAAATATGAGTCACCATACATTTTATTTACACAAAATTACATAAAGAAAAAAAACTGCTGATCTCTCCTTAAAACAAAAATAGGAAACATGAAATTTTTTAACTTTATTACGATTTTCTTGAATTTTAATACTTCGTATTGCCTCCTCGTGCTTCCATTACTGCGTTTAGGCGGTTTGGCATGCTGTACACCAAGTTCCTTATACGATTTTGGGGAATATTCTCCCATTCCTCTGTGAGAGCAATTTTGAGCTCACGAAGCGTGATTGGGGGAGGGTTTCGTTGTTTTACGCATCTCCCTAGCTCGTCCCAAGCATGCTCGATCGGGTTGATATCCGGGCTGCGCGCTGGCCACTCCATACAAGTAATGTTCATCTCTTGAAGGTAGTCATTTACAATCCTACCTGTATGAGGTCGGGCATTGTCATGCATAAATATAGCATCCTCACCAAAATTGACCATAAATGGACCAACGTGTTCATTGAGGATTTCATCTACATATCTTTCGCTAATTAAAGAGCCGTTTTCTATGATCACCAGCTCTGTGCGACTTTCAGAAGAAATTCCGGCCCACACAAGTACAGACCCACCACCGTAGGCTACTTTTTCTTCGATGCATGCTTGCTTGAATCTTTCCCCTGGTCTTCTATACACTCTGTGTCTTCCATCGTGCTTGTAGAGCATAAATTTTGATTCGTCGGAGAACATAACTTTCGACCAATCTTCAATACTCCAATTTACGTGGTTCTGGGCATATCTTAGTCTTGAAATACGATGCCCACGCTCCAGTTTAGGGCCGTTTGCAGGTCTAAGGGGTTTTAAGTTAGATTCAGCAAGCCGACGTCTTACTGTCCATGCACTTGGGTTACTTCCTCCGAGGCGTCGAAACTGATTTGTGAGTTCAGCTCCTGTGAGAAAGCGATTTCGAAGCATGGTGTTCACCAAGTATCGGTCTTCTCGTGCTGTGGTACACCTAGTTCTGCCCGTTCCTGGTCTGCGTAGGTTAGAACCAGTTTCTTCGTAACGTCGGAGAACTCTTTGTACTGTTGACAGCGACACACCGACAGTCCTGCCTGTATCGCGCTGACTCCGGCCAGTTTCCACCAATGTAAGTATTCTGGTGCATTCTTCAAGTGTAAGCGACATGATTTCAGCTTAAATAATGAATATTAAGCACTATCAACATGGTTTATGTACCCACATAAATGACAGATTACAAACAAAAGCAAAAACAAATGCTGTAATTTCGTAGTTCCATCTTCGAAAGTGTTCCCTTTTCATATTTGATTTTTTTATGATATAACTTTACAATAACTAAAAAGTTTTAATACCTTCATTTAAGGAGTATTAAATTGTCTATTAAATACAATTTATTGCATTAACCTAGCATTTTTAGTTTCCGAGATTTTTCGGATTCTTTTAGTGACCCGGATTCATTGCTCTCGAGTGTATATACTAAAAGATATCTAATAGAATTTAATTCGATTGAATATTTTAAGAGTACAAATTCCCTCAAGATATCTCGAGGAAGGTTTCTAGATAATTTTAAGTAAAAGTGGGCACAACTTTATTAGTAGATCACAAGAGTGCTTTGAGAAACTATCTGTAGGTAGTGTTAAGAGTGATTCTTGTCTTTTTCGCAAGTAACCCTTCTAGAATACTACAAGACCATTTGTAGAATGTAGACAGTTTTTATTTAGTCTTGTAGACAGTTTTTAGATAATTTATAGTCTATGATAGTTTTCTTAGTAATGCTATTTTAAAACCAAAATACAAAAGCGTTACAAACATAAGACGCAATTCTCTTAATACTAATTAGAGGTGGGTGATAAATAACGACACGATGAAAAAATCACGATGATCCGCCGTGAAACAGCGTCACCGTGACTCGTGATATATATATATATATATATATTAATTACACTATTATATTAATTGTATAAATGCAGTGTATTTATTTTCAGAGCCCTCAAGCAAATCTTACCAATGGTTGAAAGATACAGTACTGCCACATTTAATAAAATGGGCTACAGAGAACTTTGAGAATGAATGTCATAAACAGATTTGCAATGAATCCCTAAGTTTGGTATCAATTGTCAAATATTATTCTAAATACAATGAATTGAAGATCAAACATGGTTCCCTATGGTTAAGGTAAATTAATGCACTCACACTATCGGATACTTGTAATAATTGAGTAAAATTGAAACAAAAACTGATGAGCCACACTTGTTCTTCTTTTTTAATGGCAAATTATATATTTATATTTATAATTATATTTATAATTATAAAACGAAAAGAAATTTGCTCGGCTACTTCATAGTCATTCTTTAAAAATAAAAATGGCGATAAGAATTTAAAGCTTTTTTCAAAACACAGTTGGGGCATTTTGTCTATAGCTTTATCTATAGAAAAAGTTTATAATACGAAAAGATTATTTTTACTTGCTTTAGTTTACTTGACCTTGTAGAAGAACTTACACTTCTATGAAGTTTTTATGATTGTCTACAAAACGCGATGTTTCTAAGCGATTTTTTCTTTTGACAGTATTACATAACCTTTATAAACCTTTATAAATATTGAGCGTATTATGCAATAAAAAACTTTTCAAAATACTAGGTCAAAAAAACAATTGAAAAAATCCAATTTGTCGCAAAAAAAACGTTATTCTGTATAATTATATGGAATGTGTTATATGTGACTAGAAAGGTGGATAAATTCCCTATCATATAAATATAAGAAATATTTTAATGACATACCTAACTTATGTTCGAAGAATTGTATCCAGTGTTGCCAATTTGTGGGGAATTCCCCAAATTGTGGGGAGAAATATTTGTATGCCCTACATTTGTTACTCTCGTGAGTTTGAGTGTAATTTGTGGTTGTCTATGTGGGTGTCCATGCACCCGCGACACAGGGTTTCCCTAGTGCGGGGCTATGTTGAGTGTGTACGTTATTATTATTATTATTATTATTAAAATAAATAAACGATTTAAGGCCATCCAATTTTATAATTAGTTTACTTTTTATATTCTGTTTACATTCACAGCAAACGTAATAGATTATTACATTTTGAGTTTCTTAATTCTTTATTATATTTTTAAACGATGTATTTCTCATAATTAATAATAAATTATAGATGCGAGGAATTTGTGGGAAACATGAATTTTGCTCTCCCCAAATTCGAGGATTCTAACCCTGATTTTTGGAGATTTTGAACAATTGGCATTGGCAACGCTGATTGTATCGAATGATGTGATGTAATGACTTAATATCCAAGGTTCACCACCTCCTCTAGATCTTTTAATATTCTTTACTTTATCCATTTTGCATGAACTCTTACAACGTCCAATAGAGTAAAAACCCTAATTGTAGTATTTTTTTAAATAAAATCTACTGAAGACGCGCTATAACGTGTTTGTTAATAAGTACAAACACTACAGAATGTCTATAAATTAAATATATCTAGAATAAACTTAAGAACACTAGTTTTTAGAGTATTAACAGACTTTACTGGATTTGTATAGAACAATTTTACTAAAAATAATCAGTTGTTCTACAGATGAACTTAAAATAAGGACTATAAGAGTAAATCTTAAGAGAGATTACACTTAAATTGTTTGGTTAATACCAAAGAAGGTGTTAAAATTTTGACTTGAGTGAAATAAGTCCATAAGAACAATTTCTTTTTTCTAAAACCATTTATAGATAGATAGTTATCTAAATCAATATCATATTAAGACTGTTTATAGATATAACAGTTTTAAGGCGTATAAAGTGTGGTCCTTGGGTGCCTATCATAAGATAAGAGATTTGACATAAGTCAAATAAAGAAGTTAGTAATTTAAAATAAAATTATAAGTATCCTGTGTCAATTCCAATCCTGTGTCACTTTCATAACTTTGTCTATTTGTTAAGGTTTTGATTATGTACAATTACTAAATTCATGCAACAAATTTTGACATTCTTTTCTGTTAAAGAAATATTTTTACAATTTGAAATTTTCTTTTGTTAGTAAATGTATGAAATGTCTTAATTTTAACATACACATATTACATATATTTTTTTTAGTTTGTTTTGACTGTAATTTAAAATCAAAGTTGTAGAAGTCATCGAGTTATCTTCCACGACAAACAGCTGGTGATTGTCTCATGTGTAAAAGGTGTTATAGCAGGCACCATTGTGGGAGCACTGCCGTGCCGATTAGTTAATCAAGAAGCGGCTGCTCCTGTGTTACGAGCAATTCTAGAAGAAGCCTGAGGACATGCTCTCCACTTGTCGAATGACCGAGCTTATTCCGGAATGAGGACATTCCTAGAGCAGAATGGCTGTCTGTTAGCGTATCGAAACATTATATTATTTTATTTTGTTAGAAAACTTACTTTGCGTCATTAAGAATTAGTTTCATCGAAATAAGAAATAAATCGATAACATCATCATCGATATCAACGGAACGGTGACAGGCGGTCGCCATTACGAAAAGCATATTTGACTAGAACACACGTGTTTTGTTTTGTTTGGATTTATAGTGAAAAATCTTATAATATAATTTATAACAGTCACTGGAGTCTCATTTCTATGTCTACTTGGAAAGTTTCCTACAGTATGAATGAATTGATCGTATCCTTTTCGTTTATCCTTATCCTTATCCGTTTCCTAGTGACAGTATCAACCATCATATATTTTTTTAATGGGAAATACTATGTTTATGTTAATAAATACAACTTCAATTAAAAGGTACCCCAGAAATAAGATCTACTTACCACTGACAGAGTCCAAAGTATAAGTGCTAATATATGGCCATAAATTGAATGTGCCAGTTCCGACTCTAGGCTCCAGTTTCTTCACCAGTATCTCGCCTTGTTCAGAAAATACTTCAACGAAGTTCTCGGTGATTTTTGGCCTGAATGCCTGAATTATGATCTTTCGCCGTCTCCGCCATATTGATACTGTTCAAGAATATATTTTATAAGAATATATAAATAACACAGGAATATAATTTGCATATAAATGCGTAAATTAAACTCACAATAATATAAATAATAAAAATAAATGCTCAGCTTTTAGCGAAGGACAGCGGTCAGATTTTACCTGTAGAACGGACTAGAATACACATAATATGTAGTTATTTTATACATATACAAATACAATCAACAACGTAACATGATTATGGGTCTTATTTTTGAGAAATTGCATTTTTCGATACGAGCTTTAATTTTATTGTTATTTATATATATTCTTTGTATTTTTCTATTACGATATTTACGACCAGGTTATCATTTGTAGAAAGTTTACGATGATCTGTCTGTAATATTGATGTCTGAGATACAATTTAAATATAAAGGCCAAGGCCTAACAATATTCACTGTGTCTCAAATAAATATCACATAAATAAAATAATATTACCTGGAGCAAAAACGCCTCCATTTCCTGTTATTTTCCGTAAAAACCGGTGAAGATTGTCCTTGTCTAGGCAGTTCTTCAATATCATCTCTAAGTCTACTGGATTTGTTACCACTGAAAAAATATGTAACACGTAATTATTATTAAAAAAAAGGAACCGACTTGAAACTTTGCTTATATAATGTATATACAAACTGAAACTAAAAAGTTAACAATCGGTCACCGGAAATAGTGCGAAACCGGATTGATCCACTAGTTTGCCACCATTGGGGGTGGAATATTTTTTTCAAATTTAATGTGACCAATTACTGAGGTACCCTCTTTCCAAAAAAAAAAAGAATCGTCAACAACAGTTCACAAATGCCGGAGTAATCCCGTAACGTACACACAAAAAAATACATTAGAATTGAGAACCTCTCCTTTTTTAACCGACTTCAAAAAAAGGAGGAGGTTCTGAATTCGACTGTATGGTTTTTTTTAAGTCGATTTAAAAGCACATCCATTGTTCAGATATTTTTGATTATTAGGGATGTTATTTCGATGCTGACTATACCTACTTGTATTAATACAGAACCTACTCAAGCTACTTTAAAACAATACATTGAAAATTTATTTTAAAAGAATATGGAAAACAATACTATTCAGAAACTCTTTCAGAGGCGATGATTGTGATGTCTTTATGACAGGGATTTGACTAGTGGCGCCAACTGTTAATTAAAGTATAATACGTATTTTTAACATGCACAAAATACAGCTTCAACTTACCAATATACAGTAAATGAACTAGCCACGCTCGAAGAATTCCATTAAATTTAAATGAGGCATAGCTAAAGTTTTGAAGTGTCTCCATTATATCTGAAAATATAGATCACTATCACCATCATTCTTTTTCAATAACGACAGAGAAAAATATTTAGGCTCCATACAGACCATTCAAATATTATAAAAATACCATGTTCCATTGGGATAGCGTTGCCAGGGGCCGAATAAAGCCGGTCATAGACTTTTTAGATGTATGTCCGGCCAAACTAGACGCGACGGCTTGTCCGGCTTTTTTAGATTTGACCAAGTTTTGTTTCGTTTTTTCGCATTTTGATTTCGTTAAATAGCCATTATAATGATAGACGATTAATAACTATTGTGCGCGCGGTCGTTTTATGGCCGCGTCGTATATTATTTATGGCCAACCTACATCGAATGAAACATTTCATTACTATGTATTTCATTTCATTTCATTACAATACAATAAACATCAATAATCTGTTTTACACATCTGTGTTTTTTTTAAATGGGAGAGTGTGAGGAAATTCGAATCCATAGAAGATACCATTAAATTGTCTTAGGGTGCGCACACATCTGGCGCGTGCACGCGCACTACACGCGTGTAATTAAACACATGTTAATATACGTGGCGCGCGAGTGGCGTGCGAACGGCACGCGAACAGTTCGCACTACGCAATGCACGTGCGCAGTTCGCGATCCTTTCGCAAACAAGCACATTTGCGGCCCTTTCGCAAACAAGCACTGTATTCGCCCTAAGGAACCGTTATGTATATCTTTGTGAAAACAATTTTGACATAGTCAATTTTTGGTCAAGCGTGAGTTGTCCATAAAAATGAATGAAATTGATCAAAATTTTTTGTGCTGATCGTCTCAGTTTTATGAAGGGATTATTTCAGTGTATGGACGAATAAAATCGGGCCAGCAGAAGTTGGTCAAATTTAATCAAACGTTTTTCATATAAAATGAATAAAATTGACTATTTTTTTCAATGCTGATGCTAGGCTAGGTCATTAAGGAAATAGAATAGAATAGAAAATCAAAATTGCGAAACTGACACTGGCCCAAGCCTAGTGGCCATCATTAAGGAAATAGAATAGAACTCAAAATTGCATTTTTTTTAATTCGTGCGAAAACAGTACATGGAATATATTTATTATAAAGTGTTTCAATAAAATTTATGTATTTTTTTAAACTCAATAAGTTAATAATTGTTTGTTTATTGTTTCGTTGATTGCATTCAAAGTTACATATTATCCGTCTGCTTTAACTATCAAATTTGGCCTCTTATTTGGTGACTTTAGTCTAATTTGGTTCTCACTGTGAAGTGTGAAGCTCAATTTGTGAAGATGCGGTATTGATATTAGTAATTTAGAACATTTTAGTCCACAAACCGTATAAATCGTAGATGTTAACAGCATAAGTATAGTTGCGAGCTATTATTATGATAATCATTTACATAGTAGTTTTTTTTTTCTCTTCAGATACAATCGACAACCACACCAATTACCTGGTCTCAAACTAAGTAATTCCCTGCTCTATGAGTACCAGAGCAACGGAATTCTCTCCGGGGCTCTGTTCGGAACAACTAGATCGAGAGCAATGTTCATTTTCTAGTTGATTCTACCGGGAATCGAAACCCGGACCTCCTCGTCTAGTGTCAATAGTGCGGTCTCTCTTATATTGGACAAACAAAGCGAAGTATTTGTACCCGCGTCAAAGAACATATAGCTGATGTCAAACACCGTCGCGTAAACAAGTTTGCAGTCTGCGAGCATGTCATGGATAAACCTACACATTCAATGAAGTTTGACAAACCCCAGGTCCTTGCAAAAGAAGTCCGTTATCTACCCAGGATGCTGCGAGAGGCCATTGAAATTAAAAAACATCCTAATTTCAACAGGGAAGATGGTTTCTCCGTACCACCAGTTTGGGATCCAGTATTTCCTCTAATGAAAAATCCCAAACAGACATAAGACTGCAGTACTAATTAATATGTTTTATTTTATTCTAATTTCTATTAATAATTAATAATAAATTGAACTTAATAAAAATAATTCAATAAAATAATTTGTAAAACTTAATATAGCGTAAATTGGAATGTTTTCTTTGTAAAATTTAAAATAAGGTATTAAATTAATAACTATTACAACTATAGTGAAAAAATAGGGTGGTTTGCATCAATATTAGACATAACTGGTTGAAGACTGTACCACCTCAGTCAACCGTGACCATGGGACCTGTAAAGGGCCCGAAACGTCGGTTTGTTTGAAAAAACAAATATACGCGATTTAAATCCGGAAAAATAGTTTCATTTCCTATGTGTAACAATCGCGAAAACCTAAGAACTCGATATTTATTTTATTATACAAACAGATTACAAAGATAAACCTTTTGGGTTTTGCCGTACATCGCCTTATCGTTTCACAACTCTTCAATAAAATAGAAAATTATTTTTCTACCATATTTTTTTATCATAATAGCGACTGTGGGGTACTTTTAAAATGTAAACGTGCGATTGAGTAAAGAACTCATCCGTACAGTGACATGTGGCTACTGGATTGAATAAAAGAACGAATTCCTGGGGATGTGGAAACAAACTTTTGTGAATAGTAATTAATATTTATCAATAACTTCTAATACAAGTGACTAAAAAACCAAACACATATCATTATAAAAAGTTGTTTAAATGGATAATGCTTTATCCTTTGCGCTCTTTTGGACTCATCGTATTGTATCTACAAAAATTGCAAAACTACTTTACTAAAAAGTATTCATTAACGCTTTCAGTAAAAACATGAATCTTAGTCTTAATTTTTTTATCAAAACAAATGATACAATTTAGAAGCACCTTCAACATATCAAGTCAGTAGGTATCTAGATGTACATAGGTACATATATATATGAGCAAAATCTAAACCGAAACATAACAAATATGAATGTAACGCATTTATTATTATTTCCTTTATGGCTGCCACTAGGCTTGTGCCAATGCCAGTTTTATAAAATGAATATAATATATAAAAATTATGGCGATCATCGTTAGTGTCAGTTTTCTTGTATCTCTTTTATTTTGGTCTATAACGTGATATAACGCTTTGTCGTGAAACTTCTTTGAATCAAACATTAGCATCCGAGTGCCGTGAACGAAATTTAAACTCTACGAAAGAGATCGGACTCGGTAACCGAAAAGAAGTATTACCCTAATGAAAGAGAAACCGAAACGTTTCAACTCCTGCCCGATATCTATAAAAAGACTTTGACAAATGCGTAAAATTATCCTTATTTCCGTATGTACAATAACAATCACCAACTGAAGAAAAAAGACTTACCCACAGGACTTCCAGTTAAAGTATGTGCGATACCAACAATAGGCAGTTCTTCGATCGGAGCCGGAACCAGAGAGGCCAATTTGTACATATTCCGCCTACTGATCTTGTAGGTCACAAACCACAGCACTAACGCGAACAATAACAACAGCCATACCATTATGCTTACACTAATCCAACACGTTACAATCAAATGAAAATCTTCTGAAAGATGTTAGAGAAATATCAGTCTAAGGTTTTGAAAATTCGTACTGATCAAGCACGTTGCAGTCTGAAATCGCTCGCAATTTACTAACAGCTGGAAATATGGAGGTTACTAAATTGTCCAATTTTTTATCACGTGACACGGCATACACGCATGTTTACATTCATATGTCCGCGGCAATAAAAGAAGCTCCTATTTATATGGACATTTTCCTACCACAGTGTTCTCGCAGCTATTTAAGACGACAGGTTACAAGTTCACGGTGATTACCTTTGGAATACAAGGAAGCGACAATTGCTCAAACATCAACCAGGGGCTGTAAATACATGCGATTGTAAAAATGAGAAACACAACTTCTTGCACTATACGTTTATTCGTATTTTCAAACTAAAAATCTACAACATAACTGAACATTTTACCAATATTACACAGTTTTTATTAACTACCCCTACCCTACTACCCCACTATTCAACACGAAAACGACGAATTAAATCCTATACTCAATACTGATTAGACTAAACATTTGTATATTAAAACCACAGTTAGATTTACTTATAGTAATAAGGATAATATATAATTAACGTGATGTATAATTAATGAACAATAATAATCAGGCTGTATAATTAAGTTCCTAAACGGTAATATTCGACATCCCATGGCTACTCAAGTCCTATACTCAGGACTTGTTCAAATCAACAACTGTACTTATTATCTATCTTCTATATTATTATGATTATTACAAATACATTGTATGATTAAAATTATAAAATGCTTACTGTCGGCCTTCCTGATATTGTTCACGTCTCGTGAAGTATATAAACAACAATTCCAGAAAAATTTATGCTTAAAAAAAGTAACTTAAAGAAACATTATTAATTAAATACATAATTACACAAAATCATTGAAAATTCATAAAACTTAACAATAACATCTAAATCATTATTGGTTATTAATAATATACTAATAGAGCATTCTCACAAAGTGCATGGGTATCATGGTAGTAAAAATCATGATATTCAATATAAATAAATATTGCATCTTCTACAGAACGATAATTAATACAGTTGTCATTATGTCACGTTCTACAAACTAAACTGTAACAAAACTACAATGGCATCAGTATAACTAAAGGAGCCTCATTCACATCACCAAATCTCAATTCGTAACACTGAAATATTAATAATTCAAATTACAAGTAGACATATAGACATATCATATCTTCGAACAACTATGTATTTTATTAAATAAAGCACATTCAGTAATGGAGCCTCATTAACATCTCCAGTACTCGATTTCTATAAGGTTAATAATAATAATATTGAAGCTTCATACTTATCTTCAATATTATTTGCTTGGAAGCCTCATACACATCTTCCAGGCAAGTTAAAAGAGTTCACTCAATTTGTACATATGTCAGATTCTGAAGAGTCCGAACCAAGGTCATCACTTCTACTAAAGACTAACCACGGGTGCATTTTATCTGCCGAAAACACACTCTTGAACATTCTATTGCTCTTGCGAGTTAGAGGAGTGTCTTGAACTTCATACCTATCATTACCTGGAACTTTAGGAACGCGATATGGACCTTTCAATTTCGGAACTAATTTCTTACTTTGTCCCGTACCAGATATCTCTCTCGATTCTTACTAAATCTCCTACATCCTTCCGTTTAGCATCAAATCTTTTCTTCTGTTCTAATTGATTTTTAATTACACAATCCGAAACTTGTTGCCTTAAACTTTCCCTATCTACCTCGTCGTTCTCTGAAATTATTTCCAAACATAAAACTGACATACCGGTTAAATTGGTACCAAAAAGTGCTTGTGCGGGAGTCATGCCAATTCCCTTGTTCAGGGTGTTATTGAATCCCCACTGAACATCAGGAACTGCTTCGTACCAAGCGCGTTCCGTTTTTCCTTGTCCTAATGTCGTCAAAGCCGACAAGACAGTTCTATTATATCGTTCTATTTGTCCATTGGCCCTTGGAGTCGCGACCGCATTAAGGATGTGTTTAATATCTAAATCATGGACAAAACTTTCAAATTTTTGGGATATAAATGATATACCTCTATCTGAGATCAACCTTTTAGGAACACCAAATGTATTGAAATAAGATTTCATAACTTTTATCGTCATTGCTGATTTGGTGTTTCGAACAGGAGATAAACTATAAATTTTGTATACGCATCAATAATAAGTAAAAGGTGAGTATTCCTTTGCTTACTACGAATGAAGGGTCCTAAATGATCGATGTGAACGGTGTGAAACAGTTATGATATCTTTTCTATTGGGTGTAGTAATCCCGCTCGTTTAGATGACGGTACTTTAGCATATGCGCACTGTAAACAGGATTCAACGTATTTCTTTATAAGCCTCCTCATTTTCGGAAACCAATAGTCGGCTTTTATTTTATCATAAGTTTTATCAAAGCTAATGTGTCCAATATCATCGTGAGTCGATTTTAATATCTGACAACGCACGCCCTTTGGGACGACTCATTTTAAGCCTGTATCAGTCTTTCGATAGAGCAAGCCCCGTTTTATAACAAAATTTTTATCTACGTTGCTGGCGTCAGTGGTTTCCGTATTTTGTAGGGTTTGAACAATACGTTGAATCAATCTCTGAATCGTTCTGTTGCACGGTTATGGTCCAATCATTAGTAATACTTCTAACATCCAAAGAAGTACAATCCACTGGATTGCGGCGTAAAGCATCCACGTGACTCATTGTAGTTCCGGGTTTATAAACTATAGAAAAATCATATTCTTGTAAAACGTTCCACCATCGTGCCACTCTTGGCAGTACGTCCTTTTTTTCGAATATTACTCTCAAAGAATTACAATCAGTAACTATGGTAAATTTAATACCTAATAGATATACCCGAAACCGTTCAAGTGAACACACCACAGCTAATGTTTCCAAATCATAGGAAGTAAAATGTGACTCTTCGGGAGAAGTCTGTCTGCTGTAATAAGCCACAGCTTGAAATGGTTCATTTTTATTCTGTCTTTGTAATAAAATACCAGCAACACCAATTTTTGATGCATCGGTGTGTACTTGAGTCTGAAAAGATGGGTTATAAAAGGCTAAGACAGGTCTCTTAATTAGTTCCGATTTGAGAGCAACAAATGCTCGATCTTGATCATCACTCCAAATAAATTTTGCATTTTTCTTCAATAATTGTGTTAAAGGTCTCGCAATGACCGAAAAACTTTTGACGAAACGGCGAAAAAAACTAGCTAAGCCTATGAACTGTCTCACTTTTTGTTGATCTACGGGAGTTGGGAATTTTTCAACGACTGCGATTTTTTTAAGGCCAGGTCTGATACCATTCTGATCGACTTCGAACCCTAGATAATCGATGGACCTCATAAAAAAATTACATTTACTCAAGTTCAATGTTAAACCACTACTGCGGAATAGCTTCAATATTTCATTTAGTTTTACAAAACCGTCATCTACATCTTTTGAGGGTATAATTATGTCGTCCATATACGCAAATGCGTGTTTAAAACGAGCGCCACCTAATATACGGTTAATGGTTTTCTGAAAAGTAGCGGGTGCGTTGGTAAGGCCAAACGGCATCCTATTGAATTCATATTGGCCTCCGGAGTTATAAAAGCAGTCAAACGTTTTGAATGCTCTGCAAGAGGAATCTGGTAGTATCCTGAGGCTAAGTCCAATGTAGTGTAATATTTATAACCGGCTAAACTATTTAATTGATCATCAATTCTTGGCAGGGGATATTGTTATTTTATAGTTTTCTTATTTAACGTCCTAAAATCTATACAAAGATCATAATCCCCAGTCTTCTTCCTAACTAAGAGAATAGGCGAGACTTACTCTGAGGAGGATTCCCTTACAACACCGGACTCTTCAAGTTCTTTAAGAATGTCACGAACTACTGCTCTCTCAGAGTGAGACAAACGATAAGGGCGGTAAACAGGGGTGTTATCGTGAAGACGAATCTCCATTTCAGTATTCTTTGCAACATCCTAGTTCTTTAACAGAGAAGGCAAATGTAGTTCTATACAAATTCAACAATCCAAGAAACCTATCGAAATTATCGTTACTTATTTCGGTATCAACAGTTACATCTTTTTTTTCAATAGGGTCAATTTTGGTTGAACAGTCATTATTTATTTCATTAACAGTTCTCTTTGGACTCCAAAGCTGGAACGGCACGTATTAATCTAACCTTACCCTTTAATTCAAAATCTTTATCGCTCAGTTTTCTAATCATAACTTTACCGAATCCACCTCTTAACTTAATTCCACATAAAATTTCATATTCCCTATGAGGTTGCTGTCGTAGACTATAATCTATATATACATCCCCATTAAAATAGGCGCCTTGACGTCGAGTTGCGGACACTAGCCCGTTACACCAAGTACCAAGTACATCCCCATTATAATTGGAGTCTGTAAATACTTCAACTTCAGTCAGTTGGGATTGGATCTTTGAAGTTTCTTTCACATATAATGAAATTGTGTTAATTTTTGAGCGCTCTAAATTACACCTTGTAGTAATTTCTAATTTATCGCGGGTTTTGTGCATAACTATAGATTCCTGCTCCGTAAAAGATTGTCCCACCAAAAGAGGAACAGTCAAACAATAGTCAGGTACTATTATGAGATCTACCTCAACCTTCACAGAATCTATTTCAAGTTCTATAACACATTTACCTATAGCTTGGACAATAAAATTTCCGAACCCCTTCAAAACTGGTAAATTATTGATAGACCAACTCTCTATTAATTCTTGTGCTTTCGAGAGT